CATGAGCCGAATATTAGAACAGATATTATTCGCGCTCTGTCACTGAAAAGCTGAACAGTCAGTTGTGGTGCAATGGTCAGAGTTTCAAATCCCTACCCCCAAGTCTTGAGTTTGAATCCTTGCTCCTTTTTTTTTCTTATTCTTTATTTGTTTCCTTCTTTTCTTCAATTCTCTTCAATTTATTTTGGTCCCAAACTTCCATGTTTATTTTCCGTTCTTGAAATTGTTCTCAATGCGTCCAAATGGCCTCAAAATACCTACAAAACATATAAAACCAAGCATAGGACCGCTCTACACAAATAAAACGGAAAATTGAAATAAAATATAAACATTAAATTCAATTGAGACTCAAAACTCCTTCAAAATATGATTAAAAAGTGTATAAAATATGTGCATATCAGTCACCAAATAAATTTTCCTTTTTGACTTTTTGAGGATTTAATGGAGGGATATTTTTGTGTTGACTTTCTAAAAATATCCTTGATGTGATGTGTAAAAGTAAGATGTGATATGTAGATTATTAGTAAAAAGGTATGATGTGATAGGTAGGGTATGAAAAAGTAAGGGGTAAAATAGGTTTTTTAAGGGAAAAGAAAAGTTTATTTGGGAACAAAGATAAAACGAAAGGGGAAGTTTATTTGGGTACGGAGGGAGTATTACTTGATACGTTTCCATATATTAAAGGCACACTTCTTAAAACGATATCTCCATAAAACGTTTGGGCCTCAATCTCTAAATGGAAACATTATTAAATTGAAAGCTTATTTGGTTAGAATTATTACACGATAATAATAACTAAGTACAATAATATTATTACACGGTATATTATTATTATTATTATTATTACTATTATTATTATTATTATTATTATTATTATTATTATTATTATTATTATTATTCTTCTTCTTCTTCTTCTTCTTCTTCTTTCACGACAATAAATTAATAATGATTAAATACATTAATATTATTGCACAGTATATTAGTATTATTATTTTTGCTACACGATAATACATGATTTATTCTTTCTACAAAGCAATTTATGATTTAATTATTATTTCTATATTTAATACTTAACATATGTGCCACCATTTCTATGTATTACTTTGAAATTTTTTTATATTTAATTTCTTTTATTATTTATTATTTTGATTTTTTAATTGTGCCTTCCTTAAATGCATAAATAAACTTATATATTTAAATTTCTTTAAAAAAATTCTTCATAAAATATTTAGCACCGAATCTCTAAATGGAAACATAATTAAATTGAAAGCTTATTTTCTTAACATAATCACACCGTAATAAATTAATAATGATTAAATATGGTAATATTAAGTTTGGCCATGTTCTCTAAATGGAGACATTTTTAAATTGAAAGCTTCTTAGATTAGAATTATTAGACGATAATAATGACTAAGTACGGTAATTTTATTACACAGTATATTATTATCATTCTTCTTACATTGTAATAAAATAATAATGATTAAATATGGCAATATTATTACACGATATATTAATATAATTATTCTTGTTACACGGTAATACATGACCTATTCTTATTACACGATGATTTATGATTTAATTATCATTTATTTATTCAACACTTGCTATATGTACCACCACTTCTATGTATTACTTTGACATTTCTTTTAGATTTGATTTCTTTCCGAAAAGGAAACAAATGGTTTGTATGATTAAAATGGTTTGTTTCTTAATTGGAATTATATAAATTACGAAATTGTAAATTTAATGTAGTGATTAAAAAATTTATACCTTAACGTGATTATTACCTTTTATGGATAAATATTATTTTTAGTTGAATGGTAATCATTTTTTTATCATATCAATTTCAATTTTATAAAAAAGTTCGGTATTAGAAAAGAAGTTTATATAAATAATATTTTTTATATTTTGTTTACTTTTTAGAAATATATTAGGCATGCGAAATTTCCTTTAATTTATCATTCTAAATAAGAATAGAGTAATTAAATAATTATGCATGCGAAATTATTCTAAAAAGGAAAAAACGTAGATCTTGTTTGCAAAATTAGTCCCTTCCTTTTTTTATCAGAATTAAGTAATTATGCATGCGAAATTTCCATTAATTTATCATTCTATAAAAAGAATTTCCTTTTAAGAATAGAGTGATTAAGTAAATAATTACCTATTTAATTATTCATAAATAATTACTTTTTGATAAAATAATCAAGCATAAAGTATTCCAAGTAATTATAATAGTAATAGTAATAATTAGGCGTAAATAGTTACCTATTTAAAAAGGAAAAAAATATAAAAAATCTCCTACACCGTCCCTTCCTTTTTTATCACAATCAAGTAATTAGGCGAAATTGGTTAGGATACAAATTACTCCCTTCCTTTTTTATTAGAATAGAGTGATTATGCATGCAAAATTTCCTTAAATTTATCATTCTAAATAGGTAATATTATACAACCAATCATAGCCGTAGATCTTGTTTGTTCCTTGATATCGACGGTACAGGAGATGAGTGCATTGGGCGGAAAAATAATTCCCCGGCTTTTAAGAATAGAGTGATAAGGAGAGGGATTTATTTTCCATCCCCTCCCCTCCCTCCCCCCAACCAAACACAGCCTTAAGGTTTTGACACCCTCCTCATCCCTGAATGGTTTCCACACCTGTAACAGTTCTAAGAAAATTGACGATTACACAAAAATTAGAGATGAGTATAGAGGAATTACTTGGTGAAGGTCATGCTGAAGCCAACACGGAAAAAATGGAGGAACGGCTAGATCTTACCGAGCCAGGGATCCATCCGTCCTAAAATTAATTTCTCACTATGATTTTTGTAGTTATTTTTTTTAAAATTTGACCTTATATTACGGAAAAAATATATTGAATTTTCATATAAATTTATCATCAATAGACTCAATTAGAAACATAGTTTTGAAATATATTATTTTTATAGTAAATCTTCATATAAAAATAGAAATATTAATGGTCAAAGTGTCACATTGGAAACCGTGAAAAGTTAAATGAGAAATTAATTTTATGACGGAGGGAGTAAATAAGAGTAAAACATTGAAAATATATCAAAATAGGATTTTATTCTCAAAATAGAAGTTAAAATGTATTTATATTACCAAACGTGGTCATGTACATTACCAAAAAGTATAGTAATATGCACGTGTACCATGTCACATTACCTTCGCATTATCACAGTGCGAACTCTTATTTGAAAAATAAAAACCTAAAAATTCTTTTTTTGGTACTTTTTTATGTTTTAGTCTTATTTAGAGTGGATTCTATTAAGCTAATTCCGTTTGTTGTAACGAATTCAAAATTTGAAATAAAATTAAGGGTAATTTTGTAATTCTACCCTCTAAATTCTTCCTCCTTGGTTCTAGTGTCAGAAAGAAATTGGACATAAACACTGGGACGTAAGGAGTAATGTTCATATAATTTTTAATTTGAATATAATTAATGGATTGTTTGTTGCACGGGAATAGATCTAGTGTTTAAAACATACTCCCTTCGTCTTTGATAATTTGTATACTTTTGACATTTTTGATCAAAATTAGTAAACTTCGATCACAAATTAAATAAAAGGGATATTAAATATTGATACAAAACTAGTTTTATTAGATTCATTTTATAAAATATTTTCAAAAATTATTTTTATCTAATTAAAATAAAATATATATTTTATTTAATGAAAAACCAAAATTTAAAAATATTTAATTATAAAAAGTCAAAACTGAACAAATATACAGATCCAAAAGTAGTAGTTTCAAAAAACAGTGAACTTTTATTTTTTTTAGTTTGGCATGTGTATGCATTATCTATTCAAACCCAGTTACCTTTTTCTTATACATCAATTGCAAAATTGTAATTCCTAGCAAGTTCAAATATGTTACAGAGTATTTTTTTAGAGGGAAGCTCCTCAGAGCTAGGTTGTAGATGTCCCTGTTTGAAAAATCAATCTGCAGATGGCTTTTCAACGGTGACAAACAGGCGCTTCTGGTGGCCGGATGAAATTGACACGCGATGCAGCAGAGAGAGAACAATAGAATGTAGAGAGAAAGTAAGGCAGCCATTAGCATGAGTATTACCAGGAAGTGTACTATATGGTATTCAGTGTCAAACCCATTGGACTCGCTCTTACAAATACAGAGTAATAAAATTGAAAAATAAGAAGTATTCAATAACATTGAAAATTAGGAAGTATTCATATTATGGAAAAAGATAGGTTGATAACAAAGATTTTGCTTCTTCCGAAGGGTGTTTGGAAAGCAACATGTTCGGAAATAGCATGCCGACCATCTCACATATGTACCGGCAACAGCAACGAGCCTGAGGCGGTAGCTGGGTACCGTTAGGCGGTAGCTGGGTACCGTCTGGCGTCGGGAATTTCCTAAGACAACTCAGTTCGATCCAATTCCAAATCATTCATTACATATTATGTTTTTTTAAAAGATTATTATCATGCAAATCACACCAATTGAAAATAAGAAAGCATACCTGGTCGTCCTCGTTGAATCAATTACAACAACAACATATATCATAGATAAATCACAATTTAATTATAAACAAATAAACCACATAATCAATCATACGAAACTACGAACGTGAATTTCAAATCTATATACGAAATCTAGCGTTAGATGTGCAAGTTCAGACCTCGATTAATTGGCGAATTAAACAAAGTAGCGAGTCAAGCAAAGCAAACGGTGATAGACGGCGGCAACAAACCGGCGTCACAGCAGCGGCGATGTGGCAGCTACTAGCGGAATCACACGGCGGCTATCCAAGCGGTGACGCGTGGCTGACCAGCGGCGGCCAATTCTCGGCAATCCGGATGGCGGCCTGGGGTCGCGGCGTACTTCTCTGGTCTGTCCGTCGGCTTCGTTCCCAGTCTCTTCTCGCGTTCAGCTCTCTCTCCCGTTCCCTCTCTCTCAGGCGTGTATATATAAATATATATATATATATATATATATATATATATATACTCCCTCCGTCCCAAAAAGATTTACATGTTTCAAAAAAATTGTGTCCCATAATCTCCTACCCATTTCTATTAAAAAACCACTTTTACCCCTTACTTTTTCAAACCCTACCTATCACATCATACCTTTTTTCTAATAATCTACACATCACATCCTACTTTTACCCATCACATCAAGGGTATTTTTGGAAAGTCAACACAAAATTATCAGCCCCTTAATTTCAACTTTAGTCAAAATGGGTAACACTTTATGGGACGGAGGGAGTATATAATACGGAGTATATAAAAGGTGGAGTCCTCCAATTTGGAATGGGGCGGCGTATGGAGAAGGGAGTAGGTTATTATATACTCTCTCCATCCCAAAAAGATTTACACCTTTCAAAAAAATTGTGTCCCACAATCTCTACCCATTTCTATTAAAAAACCACTTTTACCCCTTACTTTTTCAAACCCTACCTATCACATCATACCTTTTTCCTAATAATCTACACATCACATCCTACTTTTACCCATCACATCAAGGGTATTTTTGGAAAGTCAACACAAAATTAT